CCAAACCCTAAGTAATGGTAATTAACCTCCGTTGCCATTCCAGCTTTGATTCCCTCCCTCCTTCCTGTTGCATGACTTTTCGCGCTGGCGCCTGAGGATCCCTCAGGGTGCAAGTAGGCAATATTCAGGGTTTAGGTCTTAGGGTTTAGGGTTTGGGGTTCAGGGCTTAGAGTTCAGTGTGTGGGTTTAGGTCTAGGGTTTATAGGGCTTAGAGTTTAGGGTTATAGGGCCTTGCAGTTGAGGGTTCAGGCTTTAGGATTTACCGGCTGTAGCATGGCTCAAGCCAAGGGTTTTAGGCTTGTACCACTATAGGGTTTAGGGTTTATTATAAGGTTGAAAGTTTAGTTGTAGCCCTGGCTCTAGGGATCCTTGCAAGGGAACCTACAGGACTACATTGGCTCATAGAAGGGCTATATTAGGGCCATATTGGGAAAGCCCTTTAGGGGTACGACCTTAGGGGTACAACCCAGGAACCCTTGATTTAGGTTTAGAGTTTAGGACATCCCGGTCACAGGAGTTCTGCCTGCATCATTTTTCCGCATTACCTGTCACTGTAGTCCCATGTAACTACAGCTTAGTGGGAAGTTTACCTCGTAGATCACAAGGTTCACACTTCTAGACTGTAGGGCCTTGGGGAGCTTCCGGCCATGCAGAAGCACAAATATTTTGCTACTGGTTGATAGTTCTTGCGCACTTACTGTACATTCTAGGCAGAACCCCTTTTCTTGTTCAGGCCCTTACCAATCGGAGGACTTTGGTAACCCCCCACCCCACCCCATATTCAGGACAGTATAAGAGTCATATGATATTCACTTTTGATGGGGCGGAGGGTTCGGGAACTATGTTCTCGCCACGTCTACCCCCCAAAAAGATGGATGAAGAGCTCTAGTGATGGAGGGAGGCGACGACGCTCGGAACTTTTCGGGAGTCTACCGAACTTCCCTTCTTAGGTTTAGGGTGTAGGGTTTAGGGTTTAGGGTACCTACCGCTACTCCGAATCAGGAATCCCTTCGCTGCCCTCATCTCAGTTCCTCATTCACGTAGGTTTGGGGGTTATAGGCACCTCAATTTCAAAATAATATCTATAATGCAGTTGAACAATCTTGTTGTTTTTCGTTCTTAGCCAGTACTTTGCATGCTTTGTAATTGATGTAGGGGTTAAGTTTCAAAGGTAAGGATTGAAAGGGATTAGGATTTGCTTCGTAAGTTGGGGCCTTTCGGCAAAGTATCGTGATGTTACTCTACAATCATCCCCATACATTGTCTGCAAAAAACATCTAAGCCCGAACCCAAAGTCTAGGTCTTACTCTAAACACTGATTAAACCCCTACGCCCTAAACCCAGTTTCGAGGGCCTTCTGAAACCTGGGGCACCGTAGTCTCCAGTGTTCGGAGCCTTGACAGTGCTGCCTGGTTTTTCGCTACAGTGGCGCAAAAAGCTCCAAATCCTGCGGCCCCTAAAACCTGAACATTGAGCCCTAAGCCTTGAATTTACACATAATTCGAGGCCCCAAACAATACATCCCTAGGCTTACGTCCGAAGCCCTTCACCCCTTACCCGCAGTCCTAAACCCTAAGCTTTTAACCCTGAACCCTAAGTTCTAGCGGCTGACCCCGTACTCCAAACAATGTCCCGTATGTACCGCCTAGTCTCCCCAAACACTCTTTCGACGGGCCTTCCACTAAACCTTCGGCCTTAAATCCTAAACCCTAAACTTACGTAAGAGCAGCAATCTGGTAACTTTCCACATCTGAGACCTAAACAGCAAACCCCGTCCTTAGAAGACAGCTCGATGTGAGTAGTGGTTTATTTGGGGATACTATGTAGTAGTAGTTATCAGGAATATCATCTTATTTGGTCCAACCACCAAGAACAGCGGTACTCATGCGACCACGTTTGCTTGTGCAGTGGGGTCTCATGCTGCATTGCGTTTGCGCCTTCGGGGTATCCCTCTGTATCCCCTGTATAGTCCCTAAACCCTAAACCCTACATAGTAGTTTCCATTTTCTTTTCCATTATCCCTATATAACCCCAATATAGCCCCTATGTACTCCTTATTATAACCCTAAACCACTGTATAGATATTGGACTTCCAGTCGCACAACGGGCAAGGCCTCATGAGCTGCTGGCGGGGCGTTTGTCGGCTCTGCAGAGGTCAAGTGCGAGGCTGCGCCGTACGGTCTTTGAGGAATTTCAGAGACTTAGGCTTTGAGGTGGGGATTCTAGTTGCTTTTGTTCAAAAAACTGCTTTTGGCGAATTTGGTCTTAGGATTTTATAAAAGTATTTTAGGGATGTCAGGTTGAGGGCATCTTCGGAGAATCAAGCGGGAATTGAATTGCATCCCAGATGATTTGTCGATGGGTTAGAGTGCAGGATTTGGGGTTTGGGAATGACGGATGCGATTTTCTCATGTTGCAAACCTCAAGCTTACCAAGCCTAAACTGCGGACCCTAAACTCTTAAAAGTTTGTAAGATCAAGGACTCGCGCTGTGAATGTTTATGGCGTTTGTCTTTACCCAAGGGCTCCTGTGTACCAGGACCCTCCTTGTACCTTCAATTGGGGATATAGGGTCCCTAATAGTAGGTACTTAGGCCCCAATAGAGGGTAGGAGGAGGGTCTAGGTAGTTCCTTTTTTTGTCGAATGGTTCCAGGGGTAGGGATTAAAAGGAACTAACTACACAGGAGAGTGCGCAATTGTGGGTACCCCAGGTATGTGAATCGCCACTCTACATAGCGAACCATCAGCCTGTGGAGATGCTCCAGCTCCAAGAATACCCAATTTTGGGTCAGAGTTTAGGGGTTTAGGGTTTAGGGTTTAGGGTTTGGTTTAGGGTTTAGGGGTTCTGAAAATTGCCCCCATACCTAGACCCCTATATCCTTTTTTGAGCATAGCTAACTTTATGGCTAGCCAGGTTCTATATACAAAATTACGTACCCAACAAAACGGATAGGGGTATACAAGAATCCCAGGACAGGGGTCCCTGGTTTCAACCGTAGAAAAACCCTAAACCCTACAGGCGCAAACCCTACAAACCCTAAACCCCAAGCACTGAAGCACAACACCAAATCTTTCCTGGTGTCTGCTGCCAGATTCCGCTTTCGCCGACGCTGAAACCGCCGGAAGCGGGCAGCAACCCGTCCAACCTGTGACACGGACTACACCCGTCCCCTAATAAAGATCCTCATCACCCTGCTGAAAATTTGCATTTCGAGTATGCCACAATGTGTAAAGTTAATATTGAGCTAGCCAGGGGTGAATGTTAAGGGGAGCGGATTAACCCAAACTGGGGACCTCATAGGGAACCTGGGGATATAGGGAGATCATAGGGATTCTGTGGGTTTAGGGCTTAGAAGATCATGGGGGTTCTGAGGATTGTGGGCTTCCCTTTACACATGTACGGGTCTAAGTACCCAAGTAGTCGAGGCATCAGGTTGCATATGCGAAGTTCTGGATGGTTCATCAGGGTTCAGGGTTAAGGGGTTCGCCTACTACTCCGCTGACTGCCCCCTCGGATCCCCTTCAATGCAGCTTACGAATCCTTAGAATAGTTAGGACTAGCTAAGCCTTGCCTTAGCCTAAACCCTAAACCCTAAACCCCCCTAAACACCAAACCCCAAACCCCAAACGGTGGTAGGGGACCCATGATCATAGGGACCTGAAGCCCTAATGGTGCGCTTTCCCCCCTTCATTCCTCTAAGTTTCCCAAGATTTGCCCCCTGGACTCCAGGAGGAACCTCCATGTTTGCCTTGCAATGATGGAGGCCCAACAGATCCTTAAAATCCAGACGGTGGCTCCTATTTCGAGATGCCCCCCATCCCCCCCCAGGAGCTACACCGGAATTCAGCAGTTATTGTTCTGTTTGGGCGTGGGGACATCTTCAACCCTCGATCCTAAACAGCTAAACCCTGGGCTTAGGGTTCAGTCTGCGGATATGTGGGACGGGGAGGGCGCCTGTGGCCAATACGCATATTCCTAGCCTTTGGTGAGTGTCCATAGCTTCGTCTTCCAGAGTAGGAGAAATTTTCCCAGACCCGAGGATCTAGAAAGTAGAACCCCCTATTTGGTACCCTATACTATTACTGGGTAATTCCTAGGAACCCTTAAGGGGGATCTACTTTGTAGATCCGCCCAGGGGTCTGGGTTGAGCATCTTGGAGAGAGCAGGCTTGATTCTCTTCATGTTTGCAGCCCTCAACTCTGAACCCAAGACCTAAACCCTAAACTCTGAACTCTAAATCCCAAACCCTAAACCCTGAACCCTAAATCCTAAACCCTAAGCCGCCAATTTGGCGAATTCCATGGTTGCTCGGTTATTGGGCCTCTAAGGGTTAGCTATCATGTTGGAAAGGTTGTCCGGGCCATCTGCAGTAAGTTTGTACAGAATACGGCCGACCTGCCATTCAACATTACGTTTAACCCTGAGAGCCCAACAGGACCTGATAAAGAAATATACCTTAGATGTCACCAGGTCCTAATGTGATGTAGGGAATGTTCCTATATGAAAGGTATTGGTCTGCTGGCGAAGGAATCTGACAAGACCCTGCTCCAAACTCCACATCCCTCAAGCCTAGGCACGCTCTAAGCCAAGTAAGCCTTTCAGGTGTAGGATTCGCGGCCAACTAAGCCTAAACATCTATACGTAAACCCTCATGCATTAGCTTTTGCCTTACCCTGCAACCTCCCTAAACCCCAAACCTTGCAAACCCCACACCCAACCCTGAACCTCATGCTTTGGAATCCCGCAAGAACAAATAACTCATAAACCCTTACCTTCAACGTGGATGAAATAATGACCTGGCCCAACGCGATTGAACATATTCAAAACGGCCATCATTCTACAGTTTCTTGGGTCCAAGCCCAAAGCGGATCAATCAAAAGCCCTAAGCCCTACCTACATTTTTCCAGACCTCATAAACCCTAATCGATGCACAAACTTGAGCTTATTCCCTTGCAAGCTTCTGGTAGCTGTAATGTACCCCCCTCCCAAACATTATTCCAACTGACTCCAGAACCCTAAACCCTAAAGTAAGGCCCTTAGATTTAAGCCTTGATCTCAGGCGGAAGTGTCACGAACGCACATTCGACGCGGCTCCACCCAGCGCCAGCTACCGACTGGCGGAGCCCTGCAGGGTAATGGGGGTTTAGGGTTTAGGGTTTTTGTGTGGAAGGCTCCGGGGTTACGTGTGCCAGGCATAAGTGTCATGTACAACCCGGTTATCGCCATATGAGGGGATGAGGGGCGGGCACGTAAAATCGAGTTAAAAGCCCGGTTATGACCCTGACCCCTAAACCCTATGTACTCCAAACCCCTGAACCCTAAACGCAAAATCCTGAACCCTAAACTCTATATGCATTGGGGCACAACTCCCCCAAACCCACACCCAACCATGAACCCTAAGCAAAGCACTTGCAGCATCCGTAGAGCTAAACTTTACACGGCCCAGGGTTCAGGGTTTGGGGTTTGGGGCTTAGGGTTTAGGGGTTTAGGAGTTAGGGTTCAGTGATTCTTGGGGTTAGGGGGTCTAGTGATTTTGGGGGTTTAAATGTATTTTGGTGTATGGATTTGGGGGATTCAGCGGTTTAGGGCTTAGAGAGTATTAGGGTTTGGGGATGAGAGTTAGCGCGCCTTGGGCTGAGGGAACCTGCTCGATTCTAATCATCTGTAGCCTCAAACGGAGGACCCCTGAAGCCCCGCTTGCACCCACTTTTTGGGACTCCGATATGAGTATGTGCCAAAACCCTAGCCCTAAACCCTAAACCCAATTCCACGTTCCTACACGCTGCCACAACAGCAGTGTCGAGCATCACAACGAAGACCAGAGTATCCCTGGTTTAGGGTTTAGGGATTACTAATTAGTAGTTGGTTTCTTTTCCCTTCGCTATGCCCCAGTTTTCACTCCATTCCCAGTGTTTTTCCCCATCTGGTTGTCCATTCCCTAAACCCTGAGCCCTACTAGCCCTACTAGCCCTACATCCTGAAATCCAACTCTCACAGTAGTTTCCACCCCTAAGTTTTACATCCCGAAAACCCTAAACTACATATCCCTGTAGATCCCCATTGCCCCATTTGAAAGGGACAGTTTCAAGGAGCAACTGGAGAGACACTCCTTACTCGAAGTTGGAGCATCGAGGTGCAAGTGGTTCAAAACAAAGCATGCCCAGAAGGTTTTGGGTTAAGGATTTACGGTTGCCTGCGTGTGGAAGGTTAAGCGGTTAGGGGCTTGTGGGTTTTGGGCCTACCTTGACCCCAAAAGTATGGAAAACCTGGCCTCTATTGCTGATATTCTGCTTTTTAGACCTATTTCTTTACATACTTTTGGGGTTTCGGTTAGGAGGTTCTGAGAGAGTTCAAGGTTTCGAGATGCTAGAGTAGCGGATTTGGGTTTCGAGGTGCGCTGTCTGGACTTCCAGGCATTGAAAAATCTCAACGCTAAAGGGTCTCCTGGAAAGATCCGGCTTTTTCTGTATGGGGTCCGACCAGCAAAGTTCTTCTATTCAGGCAGAGCATGAGCGGGGTAACCGTATCTTTGTTGGAGAGACGTACTGTATGGTCCGCCCCAAGGGAGCATACATTCCAGATATGAACTCCCGATAGAGTCCCGCTTTTGAGGACTCTAGTCTTCTGAAGGCTCATTTTGTGGTTAGATATTGTTTTGAGGAGGGAAACCCGTGCAGTCTGCACACTGGGATTCCCTGATGGACCTCATCAAACCATGCAAGACCATAAACTCCAACAGGGGCGCTCCCCCTTTGGGAGAAGCTTATTTGATGTCTCCGGGGTTGCGGGGCTAACTCGGAAGCCCCAAGATCCTGACCCTGGATCCCATATATAGATGTGCTATAGGGTACCGCAAGCCCTTGTAAGCGGGCGTGTTGAGCAACGGTTCCTAGGGATCCCAAGCAGCAAATGCATGTACTACCCGATTTTACTACATGTTTGGCATCCTTCTTGGACCTAGTCAGGCATTGTAAAATGGTCCCTGGAGATCAACACTTCCCAACTCAGCTCTCAAAAGTTCACTGGGGAAGCCGCGTCCTAGAGGAAGGGCACCCTAAACACTAAACCCTAAACTGTATACTGATTTGCATGCTCTACAGGCTGCAGGTGATGTAGAATCTTGAGAATTAGTACTCCCTTCCTTGTAGAACTAGCGTAGGGTTATATGGGAGCGGGTCAAAACCAAAGGCTTGTAACAAGGCCCGGGCCCACATCCCGTTACAAGGGGTATGTAACAGGTGCGCGCCTGGCGCGACAAGTCCTCCAATTCTAAGTCTTCTATGGCCGCGCGACAACGCGCGACAAGGGGTATGTAACAAGCCCCGCGTTTCAAGGGTATGTAACAGAGGCTTGTCCGCGCGGGCCATCGGGCACGGGGTTTCGACTACAGGTTCGGGGTTTAGGGTTTTAGGGTTTAGCGTGTTTCCCAAGATATTATCCCTGAGGGTCCAATGGCCGAAAGAACAGGATCTAAAAGGGGGTTCTGGGGACATGTAGGGATACCCAGGGACCTAAATTATTAGGGGTCCAAGTACCCCAATAAGAGGGTTCCAAGCCCCAACCTCTATGATCCGAATAATTTTGGGTACCCTAAACCCTAAACCCTAAAACCTAAACCCTACAGTACTTGAGGCTCCGGGATCGGAGGGCCGCTTGTATACGTCAATACACAATCCTTGCTATCAGAACGTTTGTGCAAATTAGGGTTTAGGGTTTCAGGGCCTACAGAATGTCTGTCCTAAGGTATACAGTATGGCTATCGAGTTTGTGGTGTTAGCTTCAATGCCCAACCTGTGTTCAGGGATGTCAGTGTCCCCCACATTGCCGCATATGTTTGCTTGACTTGAAGTGGGAATCTGCTCCGATGGGCCGGTCAGTACGAGAGCGAACAATCGGCTTGTCCCCTGAGCCGTGAAGCCCTGTAGCTTGGAATTCTGCCCCTAGCCCGTATTGCCTGGGAGCAAAACAGTATGCTTAGAAACCATGTCACCTGCGCCGTAGGTTCTTTGGATGTAGGTAGAGTGGATGCATAAACCCTAAAGCCTAAACCCTAAACCTTTCAGTCAGGAATCAGACTGTAGGCCACTATGTGGATATTTGGGCTTCTCAGGATATCGGGGCATCTCTATGCTTCCTTCCAGGGGCGGGAACCTAGGTCCATAATTCCTGAGCCCATCCCATCCAAATTCCTAGAAATTCTAAGACCCAGAGCCTAAACCCCAAACCCCTAAACCCTTTGCACAATCTACACTTGAAAGCCCCAACGCTGGGATTGCAATCCCTGAGGCGTAAACTTAAGACTATGCCTCGAAGCGTCAAGGCTTAATAATCATTTTGGGTTTAGGGCTTAGGTTAAAACTTGAAACCCCCAAACTCCAAAGCCTAACATACAGCCCGAAAGCATATAAGCCCCAAACTTTATGATTTTAAATGTTTAGAGTTTAGGGTCTAGGGTAGACCCTAACCCTTAACCGCATGTATCTCTAGAAGCCCCTACATGTCTATATCCCCTGGGATCCTTCTAAAGGTAGGCTTTAGGGTTTAGGTTCAGAGTTTAGGGGGTTTAGGGAGTTTAGGGGGTTTAGAGGGTTTAGGACCTCAACCCCTAATCCTCCAATTGCATATACCCTGTAAACCTCTTTATGGCCCCCTCAAAAAGTCTCGTAACCCCCTTGAAGCCCACAATGACCTATCCCCCAAAACCCTTAAAGCCCTGAAGCCTAAAACCCTAAACCCTAAAATCCTCAACTCTAAACCCTAAATTCTTAATCCTAAACCCAAAGCCCTACATCCTAAACCCTAAAACCTAAGCCCTAAATTCTTAATCCTAAACCCTAAAACCTCAGCCCTAAATTCTTGATCCTAAACCCTAAAACCTCAGCCC